TGAGGCGGGGCGTTCGAGATCCATCTCCGTAGGGTGCGACCAAGTCGGAGTCTTCGTGGGCGTCGTCTTCAGCAGGAGAGTCCGTTCGGAGTCGCCATTGGTACCTTGTGCTGTGAAGTTTAAAATGAAGACTCCGTCGTCATCAACTGCCTTCCCGATGTAGGTTTTCTTGTAAAACTGTTCGAAACTTTTCTCCTTGCAGTTGCTTCGAATGTCGACCCCGCACTTCATGAGTTGTGCTGTAGAGAGCAGGTTGAACTGGAGATTGGGGACGAGCAAGACGTCTCCGATGTGGATTGTAAAGCGGGTGTCCACAGCCTCAAGGTAGATTTCTCCGATGTTGTATGCTTGAAGTCGATTGTTGTTTGCGACGGTGATTTCGCATGGTCGTCGCATGCGCTTTCAGCTGCTGATGAAAGTTGGTGATCCCACCATGTGTTGCCCGCAGCAGCTGTCAAGATACCAAGTGTTGAAGTTGTCGCAGCTCTGACGCGCGATGCCGGCAATCTTTGGAGTGACGATGCGGTCAAGGTCGACGGAGTACGGCGAGAGGTCGTTGTAGTCTCTTGCGGGAAAGCTGGGAGGAGACTCCGGCGTGCTCGGAGGCAGTTCGAAATCAGGTGGGATGTTGGTCGGCTTGTCGATCCAGGAACAGAGTGTGGGATCGTTGTTTGCGCTTGGTGTGATTGGATCGATTGGCGCATTTGGCGGAAATTCAATGTCGTCGTAGTAACAAAAGGCTCTGCGGCGCACCATGCAGCTCAAAACTGAACCTTTTCCCTTGTCCTTGGATGAAATGCGTGCAGGAGTTTGCGACGTGCTTGCGACGGATGGTGGCGACATGGTCGCTGTCGCACCTGGAGTTGCGGAGGGCGCCGAGGGCTGTTGACCACATGAGTTGTTGCGCCTCTCGTCAGCGGCCTTTCGCTTGTAGCATCGGTCTATGGTGTGAGCTGGTTTCTTACAGTACTTGCAGAAGGCCCCCTTCTTTCCGTGCTGCTCCCCTTTAGTTGCTCTAGCAAAGAACACAAATTTTCCCCGCTTGTTCTTCTTCTCATTGTACAGGTCGATCTCCTTCTGCTCGGAGAGGAGTGTGGCGCAAAGGGCGGACTCGGAGATAGTTGCTCGAGCGCGGAGCAACAACTGACACTGACGCCAATCGGGTCCATGTCCAGAGAGAACCATCGAGACGAACATGTCGTCAGGGACGGTTCTGCCACACTTCTTGATGTGGTCGCGCAGATTGCGGCACCGATTGATATACGGTCCCTTTGATGCATTTTGACTGCTGTCAATTGATTGAGCAGGCGACTCATGGTAACTGGGTCTGTTGCCATGTATGAATTGCGCAGGTGCTCCCAAGACACTTGCGCGTGTGCCCACTCCGATTTGTAGGAGCGGATGCCAAGCTGCTCGACGGGGGAGAGATTTTGGAGAAGAGCGGTGTACGCGAGAAGGGACTCGTGGTAGTACTGATTCTTCTCCTGAATGGTTCCTTCCGACGGAAAAGGTAAGCTCCCGTCGTAGTACATCCAGATCTGCGCCGTTGTTGCGAGGAGCTCAAACTCGAAGCTCCACGTGTAGAAATCCTTGCCGTTGAATTGAGTTGAAGTTTTCAGTTTTGAAGTCAAAACAAACATTGTTTGCATGGTTGCGATTGCCTCCGTTTGTGCGCGTTGTTGACTGTCTTGCGCAGGAGCTGATCATTGACGGTTGTCAAACGTAAAGGATCTTTCGGAGTTGACGCGGCAGTTTTATCCCGGGAGAGGCAGTCCAGCAACTCCTCTTGCGTAGCTTGAGCCATCAATGCCCATGGCTTGGTGGCTCTCAAGAGCGTTGATGCGAGCGACAAGCTGCTCAACGAGTGCGGCACTGACGGAGGTCACCGCTGATGGCGCATTAGTCGTTGCTGGTGGTGGGCCCGGAGAGTCTGCGGTGGCTAGCTAGTTTGCTAATATTGCAAACTAGCTAGCCGTGTACTCTGAGGGGTACATTCCCTTATTAACTGTATTGCATAGCTACAGTAATTCGCGTCGCACGGTTCCCCGCGTTGATCAATGTCGCATGACTAACGGACAAAACAAAACAAAATCAATTACGGTTTGGGGCATGAATAGTAAAAACGTTTGTTTTACCCTGTAAGCGAGATAAATGAGATGTCATCGTCGAGCGAGCTGGGGACCGCGCGACAGGATTGAGAAGTAAGCACGGTCAAGATAAACAATTAATTACAATTATAAAGTTAAATATCGAATCGAGTATCCCTTCTTTATCATTTTCCCTGAATGTTGGCCTGGTTCGATCTCGGCCCTCTGATTGGCTGTGGAGCTGATTCGTGCAATGATTCGGTCAAGCTGCAAAATTTCCCGCCAAAAAAGGGACTGTAGAGGTCGGGCTACACCTAGGCGATATCGGAAAATTCTACTCAGGGGGGAAAAGGGACTCTTTTAGCGAGGGCCTATAACCCAGAACGCCTGTACATGTGTGAGTCCTCACTGGTTTGCGTTCAGTTGAACGTGCCCATCCCCGCTACCCATACAGATTGATAAACGCGTCTTCGGTTGGGTTCGTTGCCTAGCCGTCTGTGAGCCTGGCCAACTGGACACCTGGCCCACCTGGTGGCATGGTTGGTTCGTTGGCTTCGTTGGCAGGCCAGACTTCTCGGCTCGGCTCGGCAGCACGTCGTCGTGAGTGTACAGTACTTGCGCCATTCTCTGACATTTTGGCCGCGGGCTTGTGGCATGCAGCAAATTGTAGGGGGGTAAAGCGGGCCCTCAACGTAACAATCGTGATTATTGTTGAGTTTGCCCGGATAAAAGCGTGTTTTTTTTTTTTTTTTAAGGATGCATTGCACTATAAAAGCGGGTACATCCACAGTCGTAACTGTGATAAAAGCGTGCTGATGAAAGCGCGCTGATAAGAAGCTGCCTGGTTTGAATTCGGCGTCAGATTTGATCGTTTGGGTTCGCTTCTATCAGAGTGCAAATTACTGATTCCGCGACTATCATTGTGCAGACACTTGCTCATGGACATTTTTTTAATATGAACATTGCGTTTCTCCTGTTTTGGTTATGATCACAACAGAAACCCTGAAAACCGGGGCTTTATACAAAAAGGATTCAAGAACCCACTTCGTGTTCTCTCTGAACGGGTGGGTTGTTGCGGCGACCCTCGTGTGATCTTTTTATTCGCGGAGGAGCGTGCCAGTTTCCGGGCCAGCTTCGGTCCAAGTTCTTGGTGTCAGACTCCCCAGGAGGTCTGACACGAAAAAAAATGGTTTTGCCACATGCCTGCCTGTCTATTCTACCTCGTACAGTATCAATCACAGCCTGGCCCGAAGTTAGACATGGTCAAAGAACAGCTCTGGGTCTGCGGAGAAGAACCACGATTTCCGATTGGACAATGAATAGGCAACCGATGGTATGAAACTACAAATCAAAACATCGTACAGTTCTTGTGATGAAATGGCTAAATAATCGATCTCCTCATTTTCAGTTTTGAAATTTCTTTCATTTTATTTTAGTACCTATACATACATCTTTTGTAACCCAAGCAAATGGCTGGGCTACCCTAATTATCCCGCTTTTTATACCTATACATACAACTGTGGAGCACGGCTAGCACCCGAACACCGTTTCCACTGCGGGACAGAGTTGTGTCGTAGAGTTGGGCGAACACCGTTTCAACCCCAACCCTACCCACTCACGTGGTTCCCCCGACCACTTGGGCGAAAACCGTGTGCGGTTCGACCGTATGCGACGAAGCCTACCGACGTGCCAGCGTCACACGATTTCGCCAACGCAGCATCGCAGATCACAGTACAGTAAACATCAGCTGGTTCGCTTGTCGCAGGCGGAATGGTCATCGACTCATTGCATTTCCCGGAACCTCAAATCGGATCCCTTCCAGCAAAACAGGCCAGAAGCACCACTGAACAGCATCACCCACCCACATATCCACTCTGCACTGGGTCATCCCTTCTGTAGACAGAGCTGAGTGTTTACCGGTCACCCTTGTTTCGAGTCCGCGCAAACGGTTTCCTTCTTTTTTTATGGCTTTAGTGTTGCGTGTGGTTTGCAAAATATCATACTCTTGCGTAGAATTGTGGTTGCGAGAAACCCATAACAGTGTGCACTGAGCTTCGAGGTGTGGAAATTCTACAGTACTACCCAGGCGAGGAGCACACATGACACTGGTCATGTACGCCAGTTGTCAACCTGGCTGAACAGTCTGTGTTCCTTCCCTCCCACTCTCCCCTTGAAGTGTTCTCCTTCCCTTTTCAAGCAAATATTGCCATTTCCAGCCTCCAGCAAAAGGGTGTTCTAACAGAACAGATTATGGCTTCCACTTTCTTGTGACGTTCAACCTTCGTAGTATCAAGAGTCTAACGTAACAATCCCAGCAGCTTCAGCGGCCGCTTTATCTTCCAGTAGCTAACAATACTAGTCGTTCTAAAATATCCTCTGTTGAAAAAATAAGTAAAACCTAAATCTAGGTTTAAAACGATTCGGAAAATAAAATCTTACATTAAACACACAACACCGACAGCAGCAGCGGCATGGGAACTTTGAGCGGAGGCAGAGGCGATGGTTCTTGCATTTTTTCCTGGGAACCAGAGTCACGTCCCTCCTTGAAACAGATGGAAGAAGATTCGAGCCGGTTCCGCTGGCAGAAAGTCTCCCATAAGTGGCTCTGCCAACGGACTGTGAAAAGGTGAGGCTCGGATTTTTTCTGTCTCATTTTGTCGTGGCGATGACAAACTTGTCATACCAAGCAATGGACTTCCTCTTTATTTTCAACGGTCCCCACACTCACCTACCTTGCAATCTGTGGCACACAAAGATATATTGCGATTTTCTCCCTCATTTCTCTCCATCTCTTCCCCTTATATCTTCCATGCCTGCCTACCTCTCTCTCATGCCTCCCCCTCCTCCCCTACTTCCTGTTGTGTGCAAGGCTGTATAGATTAAGAGAATGAATTCCCTCTATACCTCTCTACCATGGTCTCTACCATAGTTACTACTGATAATCAATCCCTCTCAACTGCTCCCATGCCTCCCCCCTCACAGGAACTACTTCACGTGTGTGTGCAAGGCCATTTAGTGTTCAGAAAATGAATCCTCTCTCTACTGCTCCCATGCTTCCCCTCCCCCCCCCCCTCCCCCCCCCCCCCCCCAGGATCTACTTCACGTGTGAGTGCAAGGCCGTCACGAGATGCACACCTACTAGCTTGCGTGTCGTCCCTCATTCCTACCCCTCTCCCATGCTTCCCTGCCCCCCCCCAGGATCTACTTCACGTGTGTATGCAAGGCCGTCACGGGATGCACGGCGCGCAAAGTGGAGGACCGCATCCCCGGCCCGCCCCGCGGCAAGCACACCGCGCCACCCGCCGCCGCTGCTGGCCCCGCTGCTGCTGCTGCCAGCACTGCTAATGCTGCCGATGTGGCTGATGCTGCTGATGATGCGGCTGCTCCTGCTCTTGAGGATGAAGCCGCTCCGACCCGCCCTGAGAGAGTGGAGATGCGCAAGGTGATACGCATGACGACCTCAGGCTTCCACAACCACCCTTCCTCGTTGTGCCTCAAGCGCCGCCGCCGGAGCATCGACGCAGCAACAAGCGGCCCCATGACTGCTCCTTTTCAACAACAGGCTTCAGCGTATACAGCATCCCTTACTGCCCTCCTTAAACCTCACCGTGACACGGCTCCTGCCCCTTCGCAAGCCCCTGGAAATCCTGCCAATGTCTCGCACAGTGGACCGTTCGCGGCAGTCTCTCCGCGCGTTTCCAGCATGCAGTCCCGCGGCAAATTCAAAGAGATCCTGTGTGCATCTAAACCACTCACTGGCCTCATCCCCTCCTATGTCATAGGAGGCAGTGCCTCCTTCGGCGAACCCAAGGAGACTTGCTCTGCTCTTGTGCCTGCAGCTTTCTCGCAGAGGAGTGCTGGCACAGCGCGACAGGGAAGGGGAGGGGGAGAGGGGAGAGGGGTGAGGGAGGATGAGGAGCATACAACTGGCACGTGCTGTGCTCTTGCGCCTGCAGTTTTCTCGCAGAGGAGTGCTGGCACAGCGCGACAGGGAAGGGGAGGGGGAGAGGGGAGAGGGGTGAGGGAGGATGAGGAGCATACAACTGGCACGTGCTCTGCTCTTGCGCCTGCAGTTTTCTCGCAGAGGACCGCCGGCACAACGCGACAGAGAACCATCGGGAGCATGTATGAGCAGATTATGGCACTCGGCAACGAGCCGGCGGAGATCAGCCGGGCTGAGTTGAAACCCAGCTTCCGGTCTGACGGGGATTTATGCTTCCCTGCTGCGGTGGGGCTGAGCTACCAGCCTGAGGAGTTGAGCTACCAGGCTTCAAAGCGGCAGAGGGCAACGCCGGTGAAATCTGAACCGGATGGTCCCCTGGAGAGCCCCAGCGGCAGCTGCTGCCAGGATGAGCCTCTCTGGCCTGCTGCTGCCACCTGTGCGTCTGCTCCACACTTCTCCGCCCCTGCCTATGCTTCTGAACACTCTCAAAGGACATCCCATCAGAGTCACGACGGACTACCCTGGCCTGCTGTGAGCTCTGCGTCTGCTCCACAGCCGTCTGGTGGGCCCCTTGGGACTGCTGCTGCTTCTGGAGGTGCATCGTCTGCCCAACACCTGTCTGGTGGGCCCCTTGGGTCTGCTGCTTCCAAACGCGGTTGTGTGAAGTTCTACCCTCGCCTGTCAGCAACGACGTGCGCCTCTCAAGGTGTGCTGCTCCGGAGCAGCCCCGGACTACCACAGCGCTTTCTGAACCAGTTTCCGAACCCAACAGGACCGGCAGAACCAGCAGGCCCGGCAGCTTCAGCCGTCCCAGCATTCCCGGCAGCGCATACAACCCCAGCAACCTCAGCAGCAGCGGAACCTCCACAAGACTGGCAAGCTCTGGCAAGTGCCAAGGGTGGCGAAAGCAGCAAGAGTGATGTAGCGATGCTGCTAGGCGAGCTTCTGACACCGGCTGAATGGGAGGTGGTGCTCTCGCGGATGGTCCAGCGGCAAGGACCGTCGGATGAAGGAGAGCAGCAGATGCTAAACGGTGTGGATGATAGCAGCAGCGCATGCATGCACACGGCTCAAGGTGCCGGCGTCTGCAGCAGCAGCAGCAGCTTTGTTGATGTTTCAGGCACTGGGGGCCCAGCTCCTGTTGCAAGCATGGATTCAGGAATTGCTGGTGGCGTTGCTGGTGGCGTTGTTTATGCTGCTGCTGCTTCTGTGGCCAACGCTCCACCTTCAGTGGTTGCAGCAAGCATGGATTCCGGCATTGATGCTGCCGCTGCTGCTAGTGGTGTTGCTGCTGCTGTGGCTGACGCAGCAGAGGTGCTGCGTGCAATGAATGCATACCAGGACCTCGCCTTTGCGTCTCCCACTCAAATCGGGGCGTCACCCCTGCAAGAACCCCTGCCATTCGCTCCTGCTGCTGCTGCTGCTGCTGCTGCTGCTGCTCAGATCGGTGCTTCTTCTGCTGCTCCGTCAATGTTTGCTCAATTCACACCTGCCGTACCTAACACTACGGGAGCTACCCCCTTGGATCCTTCAGCCAAGATCAAAACCGAGGTGAGCACCCCCCCCCCTCTCCCTTCCGTGCTCCTAGCAAGGTTTCTCTTCTTGCATTTCTCCATCTTACACCCTGTCCCCTCCTGTGCATATGTTCATTGCAGTTTATGCAGCATGAAGAGTCGGCACTGGCTTGGCCAACCTATCCTGCGCCGACCTATCCTGCGCCGAACCTATCCTGCGCCGACCCATTACTCCCCAAAGAGGTCTTCCCTGACCTATCATGCCACAGCCCAGCGTGGCTTATCGTATCCTTCACCAGCCATGCACACCCCATCGCATCACACCTCCTTCCATCGCACACCATCCCAGAACACCCTGTTGCATCTGCCTCAAGCTACAGCTCGTCTGGTGCATTCACCTGCGGACCTTGTTTCAGCAAGGTCACTGCTACAGTCACCTGCGGATTTGGTGTCAGCACGGCCACTGCTACAGTCACGTGCAAATCTGGCTTCAGAAAGTTCACCGATACAATCACTTGCAGATCTCGTTTCAGCAAGGTCACTGCTACAGTCACCTGCAGATCTGATTTCAGCAGGATCACCGCTACAGTCACTTGAGGATCTGATGTCAGCAGGACCACTGATACAGTCACCTGCAAATCTGCTGGCAGCAGGGCAACCGATACAATCACCTGCATGTGTGTTCCCAGCAGCACCACGGCTACAGTCTCCTTTCTCGCTTTCACATGCGGAATTGCTACTGTCTTTCAACCAGTCACCTGCAATCGATGCACAGTCTATGGACTTGCTTCTGTGGCAGCTGGAAGCAGAGCTCCAGGCGTCAAGCCTCGTTATGTCACCACCAATGGCAGTAGCAGCAGCACCAACAGCAGCAGCGCCAGCAGCACCAGCAGCAGCTAGGCAATCAACAGCAGCAGCAGCGGCAGCGATGGCAGGAGCAGCAGCAGTACCGCCACCAGCTGCAGCAGCAGAAGACGAGCCGAAGTATCTCCCTGCACCTACTCATACCGAGATGCATGTACCAACCTTGGTTGTAGCAGCAACAGGAGCCGTGGAAACAGCAGCACAGCCCCCGCTACAGGCACACCCGCTACAGCCACACCTGCAGGCCAGAAACCCAATGATATTTCCTCAATCATTCTTGCAGCAAGGAGAGGGCACGTCCGGTGGTCAATCAAGCATGGGAGGGGGTCAGGTTGACATATATAATGGTCAAATGGCCATGTGTGATGATCAAACAGGCATGTGTGGTGGTCAGATGGGCATGGGCAGCGTTCAAGTGGGTATGGAGTCTTCTTGGGGACAGCAGCAGGATGGGGAAGAGGAGCTGTTTCCTTCAGCCTTGGGCGGCGGTCAGGAGGACGGGAAGGGGCTCTCTCAAATGGAGCTCTCTCAGAACGAGGTCTCTCAGGAGGAGCTCTCGAACTATGACAAATTACTTGAGTCGATGTCCTTTCACGGCAATGACATATCTGAGTGGCCTATGGTGGCACAGCCGCTCGATGAATTTCTGATAGAAAATGCGGCTTTCACTAAGTTGAGTTAGCGTGGTGACAGGAGTTGTAGGCATGGCGTATATTCCATTTGTTTCCAATGTATTTGTTTATTCAGTGTCAACTGTAGTACCGATTGAATAGTGTACCGTATATGGTGCAGTGATGTCGCCATTGCAATAAGGGCATGTTCCTACAGCCCCTTGTCAGGGCATCCTCTTATCAGCTTCCCATATTTGTTGTATGCACGTTATAGAACGCCTCTTATCAGGATTGTACCGGGAACGCGCACGATTGAAATCGATCGCACCATGTCGCACAACTCTTCGACCGTTGCTGTACACGTCCACGTGCAACGCGTAAACGTCTGTCCTTGCATCTCGCCCGACACTCTAACCTGCGCACGGCCGTGACGTGGCGAATGTGCGCGGGGAACCATCGTGCACAATGTGCACGATTCCAAACATTTTGAGCATTTCCCGCCGCGGCGCAACGGAGATTACCAGCACGTTGAACACTTCATACACGCAGTCACAACCAAGCCCCCAACACCATCTCTCAAGTGCACACATTTAACGGCATATACAAACAGGCGAACAACAACCTAGTCTCAACATCGCGAGTTAGCTACAAGCCATGGCACGGAAACGCAAAGGACCGTTAGGCGCAGCAGAGGACGAAGGGTGGCGAGTGGAGGATCTTGCTTACGTCAAATACATGACTGCTGAAATCGCAGCCGGAAGGCCGACTGGGCGTCCTTTACGTAGTGTGGGAGCCTCGAGCACAACCCCCAAGCAGTCGACCGTCTCGCCCCGTGGATACGACACTGACGATGGGAGCCTTGAGAAGGACTCTGACGACGAGGACGACGTCGCCGGCTCCGACGCAGACGATCCCGTAGCAGACTGGCATGGCGGCCGTGAATACAACGGCCCTGATCAGGACGACGCGGAAACTACACAAGCCGATCGCCGGCAAGCAGATACTGCCCCGCGCTCGAACGGAAAGCAGAAGGGAAAGGCTGCTGTGCGCAGCCCAGCTAAGGAGACCAGCAGCCCCGGGCCTGGCAGCCGCATCGAGTGGTCGCTTAAGGAGTCGACCATCCTAGTTGCGGCACGTTGGTTCACGAAGGACGAGCTGCAGCGGATGACCGGGAAGCAAGGCTCGCAATACTGGCTACGTCTCTGCGAGCACATCAAGCTCACGCACCCCGACTGGAGCCGTAACGCTACCGCGTGCACCAACCAGTGGAAACGTCTCAAGGCATTGTGGAAGCAGGTGTCCCTCGGGGACAAGGCGTCGGGTGGGGCGACTGTCATCAAGCCCCCGTGGTGGGAGTGGATGGTCCTAATTTATAAGGACACTGCAGCTGCGGTTCCTCACGCACTGGATGGTGGCGGAGCTGACGATGTCACCGTCGAACCTGGATTGAACATCCCTAAGCCCGCGAAAACCGATGCTACGACTTCAACAGGTGAGTTAATGTGCAAGGGGTGCCCTCCCCTGGAGTTGGGTTGTGAGTTAATGCCACGTCAGAGTTCCCGGTATCATATATTAACGGGTTAGAGGCATACAATGGTACAAACTTTCTACCCCACCCAATGCCTTTGTGCCCGCAGTTCGTAGCACCCCCCCAAGCGCTAGACGCCGAGTTAACGAGACAGCAACAATGGCTGCTGCTCAACTGTTAGCCGACACCCTCACACGTTGCTCCGAGGAAGGCGTCTCCCAGATCACCGGACTAATCCGGGAGTGGATGGCAAGCCAGCAGTCTCAGACCAGTCGCCCGCTCCGCTTCTCTCGCGGCCGCGCTGGCGGTGACGACGCATGGCCGGACGACGACAATGCCACGCTCAGTGACGAGGTTGAGGAGTGGCGTCGTGGCGACGACGCTTAAGGTACGCGTCATGGAGAGCCATCCCGAGTCTTTTACGGCGTTCCTTCAGTTCGAACGGCGTAACAATGTCACACGCCTCCCACTTGTATTCTGCAAGCTCTCCTCTTGTCCACCACGGATCCCGATTTAGCGATATCGCCGCCCATCTGACATTCGGGGTCTTCATGCGTTGGCCCGCCATCCCAATGCCCATGTTGTGCAGGATAACGACGCAGCTGGCCCCGGCAAGCACCCGCCAGAGCGCACAGTCGTGACGGCCGGCAAACAGCCGATACCGGCCCTTGAATTGTCCGATGGTGCGCTCCACGGACATCCGGGTGGCTGATTGGCAGTAGTTAAATGTCTGCTGCCACTCGAGCATGAGGCGGCCAGTCGGAGCGTGCAAGGGCGTGAGGCAATAGTCGCGGAGGGGGTAAGCCGCATCGCCAACTAGCTGGTAGGGGGCGATGTCACCATTTTCCAGTCGTTTGTAAAGCTTGGATTGTATGAACACCCTTTGGTCATGAGCTGTGCCCGGAAAGCCGATCAGATAATCCCATATGACGCCTTTAGCATCACATGTAATTTGCAGCTGTACGGCATACTGTGACTTACGGGTATAATACTCCGATCGATGCCCTTCCATTCCCCTAATCTGGATGTGTGTGCCATCAATAGCTCCAATTACCGCCGGAACCCCCTTGATGCTCTTAAACTCCTCTGCCATGACGCGCATCTCCTCCTGCGTAGGAAATCGGACCCATTCCGTTTTAAAGACGCGCGGGAAATTTTGCAGAAACAAATCAACAAGGCTATGACATAGCGTTTTTGGGACGCCGAACCAGAAGGCCAGGTCGATGTATGCCATGGCGCTTGCGAAGTATTTTATGGGGATTAAAACAGCGACGCGAATCGGCAACGCGTGCCTTTGTATGACTGGGTGCAGTATGTGGTGCATTCCCTCGCATATTAATTCTAATATGGCCCGATTAATGCGGAACAGGTCGGTAAACACTTCGTCCGACATCGAAGCCATCTCATCCTCCCAGACGTCCAGTCGCCGCCGGCGTAACTGGCGGTTCCGTGTGCGAACCTCACTTCGGGACTCTACGCATGTCTTTTCCCGCTCCGCAGCGTCTATGTGCTCTAGCAGCTGAATGCAGGCTTTCGTGGCACAGTCTAAGAAGGAGTTGTAATAAAACGCATGCCACACAATTAGCAGACGTGGAAGGAACGGAACGTCCGTCATGGGGTCTTAGCGCTCTAATCTTCTCATGCTGATTGATTAAAAGTTGATGGCTCTCAACTAGTATTGCTCGTGCCTTTATTTGTGCACCCTTGCAGCTAGTTTGCGTCACCCTGGGTTGTTGAGTTTGGGCTGTGTGCAATTTGTTGTTCGCTGATGTGGCCAAGTCGCAAACTGAACGGACCGCGGCACCTCTTGACCGTCATCAATTGATGCCCGCGTGTGGGTCGCAATGTGCCACATCAGCCTACAATCACAATCGCACACAACTGCAAACCGGCAAGCACATCTGACTAGAGGTTTCTCGGTCCAGCCAAATTACAGGTGAGTTTATCGAGGCTGATAAGAGGTGGCCCTGACAAGGGGCCGTAGGAACATGCCCTAACAGGAAGGAACACGCAGTTGTGTGTGAACTAACTAAAAATAAATAAAATCAAATAAAAAGGGGGGAAGCGAGATCGGGTAGTAGGCTAGGCTCATTGTGATAATGTCTATAGGCCTTGTTACTTAAATCAACTTTGACGATTCGGAAGGCTGACCGTCAGAAACTCAATACACGGTATTTGAATCCGGAGTGCAAAATGCTAGGCCAGCTTCTCAGATTGTTCTTATTGCAATGGATGTGTGTTAACGCTTTGC